AGTGATAACCACACTGTTCCTGAAGGAATAGGCCATTACAACTAAGGTTTTCTGCTCTACATTTTTAAGTTAAATACTTTAATTAATTACAGTTTTGCTATTATTTTAAGGGAGGTCATCTGATTAATAAATGAAAGAAAATACTTTCATGGTCAAGTTTGATTGAAAAACAAAAAAAAAAAAAGAAAACAAGCCCAAACGAAAACCAACTACCTCCAATAGTCAATAGCACTACCTTATGGAATTGTTGGAAGATCAGTAGTGAAACTGAAATTTTGTTCTAAATAATTCTGGTTTGTTTCAAAATTTTGTTGTAAATTGATTGTAGAGTGGAATAATTTGCCTTGCTTTCTGTTGTTGCATATTTTAGAATTATCCCCTAAAAGCAGAATTTTCTTGGAGTCAAGGAAATGCTTCACTACTGTGAAGCAGACATTTTTCTGTTTCTGTGAGACTCAGGGGTTTACAGGTTGTTTACAGGATTGTGTAGCTCAGTCATTCCTCAGGATGTAAAGGCGTAATAAGTAGATGTTTGCAAGCAGGTGGAATTCTTATCCATGTTAACAGTAGCAAGCCCGAAGCTTCATATTCTTTGCTAGTGAGTAAATGCTTCTGCTAAAAGGCATGCCTGAAGCCTTAAACACAGTGCATAAAACTAGAACATGCACTTGAGAAAACAGGACATCTTCTGATGTTGAAATAATTGCCTTCATGCCTACCTTACTAAAACCATATCAAAGGCAGAATTAGGCAAAGCAATACTTCAGCTGTTTGCAAAAGTGTGATTTTTTTGGTTTTGTTTTTTAATATATCATTTTTTAGGATTGCTGTGGAAAAGCTTCATGAAATGGATGATGCTTTTAGAAAACAACTTGAGTCAATGTTGGCAGCTCATCAGGAAGAACTATTGCAGCTGGCAACTGAGAAGGAAAAACAAATTGAAGCAGCAAATGAAAAAGTAATTTTAATAATAAATTTATATATTTATTTGCATTTTTATTCTACAGTTGCTGCAACGGTGGTGCTTGGGAGTCACCTGTTTGTATCTATCTGGCTAAGCTCTGGATGGAAACAGCCCTGGTTTAGTACTCAATCTTTGCACAGCAAGAAAATCTCTAGAACTGTATCATCATGAGGTTCTGTGTTCAAGCCAAGTAAAGTTGCATGCTGTGTAACCGTTGATAGCTAAACATTTCCTTAACTATACAGGCAAGAATAATGAGTATGCCAGATAATCGATATATCTCACCTAAGCCAGTGTTAACAGTTACTGTTCCTGTCATATACTGCATTATTCCTTAGTGTGGTTCCTGTCATATACTGCATTATTCCTTAGTGTGACAGCTGGTGATTTTTCTTCATAGTAGGTATTTTGGTTTTGATACATTACTCACTATCTGCTAGCAAATTAATACTTTTAAAGCAAAATTCTGCAACTGCATCCATTGTCAAAAGTAGTGCGTTGCTTAGTTAAACATATAATTCATGCACTGTTTATCAATGTTAAAAATTGCCAAGATGATATAATTTTAGGTATATTAAGGAAAAGCAAGAATTCTGTTTGATCTGCATGTGCTTTTTCAGGTTTACTCTGTTGAAGAAGAAATGCGGCAGCTTCTGCAGGAAATGGCAAACAATAAAAAAGCCATGGAAAATAAAATAAGACGACTTACACATGCACTGAATGATATTAAACAAGATCTTTGAAGTTGATTAATATATACACTTATTACCCAAACTTAAGCAAATTCATCCACTACAGTGCACTTTTTCTTGTTTTCTAAATTCTTTGTGGTATATTTTGATGGTTAAGGAATCAGATAAATATTTTTACGTTCTTTTCATAATAAATAGTTATTTCTAACCTTTGGTTATTTTCAACTGTTTTGTCAAAATGGGTGAAAACACATATATAGATTAAAAGCATGACATGAGATTAGGAATTAGCATGTTTAATAAGAGAAAGGAAGGCTGGGCATTTGTTTCTAAGACAAGAGCTTGAAGCTTTGCTTCACTGGGGTAAAGATTCTTGTAATGAGAGATCCAGTAATTTACATGAAACTGCATTTAATCTGCCACTGCTGTTGAATACCCAATTTGTGTAACTTTGAGTGGCTTTTTTGGCAGCGTAGTTTGGTTCTCTACAGCAAGAGCTTTCCTATCAGGCTTTTGAAAAATAGGACATCATAAACTACTAGTAACTGCTTCTGGAAGCCAATTCTAAGCCTTACATTAATATGTTTGTTATACTTCTTTCATAATGGAGACTTTACCCACTGTATTTGGGCATTTATTTAGTTTGCTCATTCTCAGAAGATTCTAAACTGTTACTGTACTATGCCATACTCTGAATTGTTTAATGCTGCAGTACTATGTAAAATAGTAAGTAGTGAAGTCAGTTATTTGTCGGTATACCAGGTAGAGCTATTTCTTCCCACTCAGCACCTCTCAGGAGCTAAAAGCAGCATCTCCTTGCTCCAAGGAGGATAGACGCCACTAAGCCAGCTTTACCATCAGTTTGTTCAGAACCCAGGTGTAGGCACACGGACAGGGTATAACGGTGTATGCATTATTGTGCCCAGTAACAACACTAGTGCTAGTACAAGGCCCTTGCCTTTGGCTAACAGTGCAAGGCTGGTGTTGGGCTTGTTGTGAGAACTTACTGTGAGAACCAGAGCTTGATACCTCTTGTTATGAGGTGCAGCTTAAGCATGGGATGTAACAAAGGCCTTGAAAACAGTGGCACGAACTGAAAACAAAGGCTGAGGCAGCAAAAACAACTTGCTGATGGTCAGTGACCAGTCTTTGACAAAGGACAACCTTGAGAGCTGGGAACAGACTGCTTTTGCTTTAAGAAAGGAAGCAGCAGCAAAGCAAAACAAAAGAAACAGCCCAACAACTGACTAAGACACCTGCAGTGGCCTGGGAAAACAAGCTGCCTGCCCCGCTTTGCACAGTAAGGTGGTGGAAGGCTGGGAACTGTCTAGAGATTACATGGTCATATAAAAGGGTAAGATCCCAAATTTGTGGAAGGCAGCAGAAAGCAGACACCAGCTTTGGCTCTGGTTCCCTGCATCCAGAGTTCCCACACCTGGTCCCCGAGGCCACCACGGACCAGAGGCATCAGCCCTGTGGTACGGAGTGCTCCCAGCTCAGGTGGGTTATAGCCGTTACGCACCAACTGCTCGGAATCCGAGCTTACAGCTGATAATACGTAAAAATTAATGCACAGTGGTAATGGTTAGCAAGGTGTAAGAACCAACTCTTAGCACAACTGGGTTAATGAAGGTCAGTCCAGTGGATTTGGCTGCAAAGTTTAAAATTAGCCTAATTTATTGGTCTGCTATCCCAGTGATCTCGATTCCCTGACACAAATATATCCATGTTACCTAAGTGCAGAAGAAAATTACTTCTCACTCTTGCCTTGTGCTCTGCACACCTGTTTCTTCAGAAGCCACATTATGTGAGGAAATGCCCACCTGGAAACCTGTTCTGTAGTATTTAAATGGGTATCACTGGCGCAGAAAAGTTGCACCATTTTGGAGTGCTTTTCTGCCGTGTTTTATCAAGAATTTCCTTGGGCACTTTATTACTTGACCAAGTTACACTTTGGATCAAGTAACTGAATACCTGGAATGTACCAGGAAGGTTAAAGAACTTACTCTGATTCGATTTGTAAATATCAGCTCAGAGTTTTTCCTCCAAAATTTTTGTTCTGAAACTATTTTCTGATTTCATCATAGAGAATTGTTACAGTTTTTAACAAAAGTTCTTTCTCTTCATTGCTCTTGGCTCAGAAATCTCGTAGAGTTCTCAGGTACATGCATGCATTAATAATGTTTGTTTTTCTTGCAGCTAATTCTAACTTTGGCATAGTTTCCCTCTTTATGCTTAGAGCCCCTTAGAGCTTTTAAATAAATTTTTAAATTATTTTTACCTTCAGAAGGATAAAATAAAAATACGATGTAGGTCAAAGCTGTGCCAAATTTACCTATTTGCAAGGATAAATTTCAGCCTGACATCAATGAAAGGTATAAAATAATAACTAAGTAAAAAATATAAATTAAATGTAAACTCTGGCCTTGTCAGATGCAAGACATGTTCTCCTGCATTTAATCACAATAATTTAAAACAGATGCTGTTACTAGATTGTTTTCATTCCCAGACAAGATAACAGCACTATTTAAATCAGGAAATTTTTGTGTTAGCCAAGACTCAGAGGGATGTGATTCAAGGTCCAGAGAGCCTGCATAAGTGCTTGCTCCTATACATGTATCGCCCTGAACACGCCACTGTCAGCGAAGGTGCGGCCCCTCTGTGGCACAGCACATTCAGAGCAACGTCCCTTCATAACGTGCTCCACTGCTCTGCGTGCTGGGGTACCTGAGGGTCTTTTCCCAACAGCATTTCTTTCTTGAAGTGCACCTCTTGAATTCTCAGGCTCTGGGGACTCTGGAGCTTCTCTCCTTTTACACGCAGGTGACTGAAGGAAGGGAAGAGGCGCGCCTGAGCGAAGGTTAAGGCCGAGTCTGTCTGGACACCCGGGCGAGGGGCTGGGTGAACACCCGAAATTCTCAGTGCCCCCCCGCAGCGCGTCCCGCGTGCAGGCTCGGGAGCTGTGGGCACATCGCTTATAACTCATCTCAGTCTTTATTTGTATCAGATGCAAACGGTGAAACGGGCGACGAGGAGCTAGGGGCTGCTAGGGGAAGGGCAGGCCGGTGGGGTCCCTTCAGGCCCGCCGGTTGCTCGCCGCCGCCCCGGTGCTCCCCCGGCCTGGAAGCCGGGGCGAAGGCCCGGCCCGCCTCAGCGCGGCGCGGGTACGGCCTCTCCCCGTGCCGCGGGGCTGCCCGGAGGGGCGGCAGGGCCGAGGAGGGGCCCCGTCCCCAAACCCCGGGCGGGGCGGGCGCGGCCCCGGTGCCCGACCGGCAGCCCCATCTCGCCCCCCGCGGCCGAAACATGCCGGTGTCCAGGCAACGGCGGCGGCGTCACTTCCTGCGGCGCCGCCCCTCCCGCCCCGCAGCCCTCGGGCCGGGGCTCCGTTCCGGGCTCGGGCCGTTGCAGCGGCCGCGACACGTGGCGCGGCGGGGCGGCCCCGCTGGCGGCATGGCCGCGGCGGCCGAGGCGGCGGCGGGCGGCGGCGGGAGCAGCCGCCACGAGAAGAGCCTGGGGCTGCTGACCACCAAGTTCGTGTCGCTGCTGCAGGAGGCCAAGGACGGCGTGCTGGACCTCAAAGCGGTGCGAGGGCGGGGCGGGGGCGGCAGCGGCCAGCCATGGCGGCGGCCTGCCCGCGGCGGAGGGACGGCGCAGCGCGGGGGCCGGCCCGCTCCCCCCTTCCCTCCCTCCCTCCCTCCCTCCCTGGGCGGCGGTGGGGCGGGGGGGGGCGCTCCGCCCGCTGCCGAGCTGCGGCTGCCCGGCGATGGCTGACAGCCGCCGCGGTCGGCTGGAAATACGCGTCACGACTCTCTTAGAGGAGAGTGAAATGGTTACTGTGCGTGAAACGTGGGTCACTAGGGGCTTTTTATTTATTTCTTTACTCTCCCGCGGCGCTCTCTGCGCTGGCTCAGCGTGCGGGCCGTTATTTAAACCTGTTTCTCAGCCGTCCCCCCTCGATGTCCTTTTAGCAAGGGAAAACGATGCTGAAAAACAGACCATCACCCTCTGAGAACTCTGTCTCTCTCTGTTTGCATATATATATATGTATGTATATATATAAAAGACGTTTAATAGGCAGAGCGGGTGGCATATCGTCTTCCCCCACCGCCGCAGCCTGCCGCCTCTCAGCCGCCGAGGTGCTGGACGGCCGCCGCGGGGGGACCTGCCCGGTGAAGCTCCGGGATGAGCCCGTTCTGCACCGGGCCCTCGTCCCGGGAGGTCGCGGGGCCCCAGGAGGGACCCTTGGCGCGGTGTCCCCCTCGCCGGTGCCCTGGAGCGCGCTGCCGTGCCGGCCCGGGGGCCGGGGCGCTGTATGTCCAGGCGAAAGCGTATTTCTCCTGGCTGGCTAAGGTCCTCCGCAAAATGCTGAGGAGTCAAGCAAAGGGCACTAAGAGGCTGGCTTGGCACTTGGGTTACTCGAAGTCCGTTTTGGAAAACAGACCTTATTTGTTGATTATTCTTAGTGGGCTACAGGAGGTGAGCGGCGCTGTCAGAGCTTTTTGTGCATCCCCGTTCAGAGAGCAAGCACTTCAGTGGTTTTACAGTGGCTAGTGAAACTTCAGGGTGAACTAGCAAGGATACTGGAAAGGTTTTATAATCCTCCTTTAGTTATGTTGGCATCTGTCCATGTTGATTAACGTTTTTGTGTTTAACTGCCTCTTTCTTCAGTAAAAAGGAGCTAAGCTGTCAGCATCTCTGGAATCGTCTAGCTTACTTTATTATATGGTTATGTGCTGCAAGGTGTTCCAGGTCAGTTTGAGAAGCAAAACGTACCCAATATGTAAGACATCAGGCCAAAAAGCTTAGCTTAAAGAGCCAGAGAGGTTGGATTTGAACAATAACATTGGGCTCTGTAAAGGGATAGGACAGTGTTTTTCATACTCTTCTGTGAGGATGGTAACCACTCGGCGGGAATGGAAGGGTTGAGAGCCAGGGAAAGATAAGTGAGCACTGCAACAAGTCATAGACATTTCTGCTCAAGACCTTTATCGGAGACTGGTTTCTGAGTTACAGGATACCGTTTGTTGGAAGTAAATACTAACTGAAGTAAATCGTTGGTACTTTCATAAACAGTGAGTCAGAATGTACATTTTTGTAACGGGTATTTCTCATAAATAAACCACATATCTAAGGAAAAATGAAAACTAGCACGCGCATTATGTCGGTGTGCTCAGGGAACTGAAGAACCAGGACAGTCTTGAAACAGAACAGAGCATTCCAAGAAATGATTGATGCAGTGAACATCTCCAGACGTCTCCGTACTGACCATCTCATGTTGTGCTACTGATTAGTATTTCTGCAACAAAACTGGCAGTGCACTATGAAGATAATACAATTTGGAAATGTTAAGTGTACTTCTGGCTTTGTGATTTAGTGGTTGAGACTGGAAAGCTGTTCTGCAGCACACTTCCTGGTGATTTTTGGATGCATCTATAATTATAGTTGAGCGGCGGTCTGTAAGAGGATACTCTGGGACATGTGTGCTGACCCATCATGAAGCAGTAGTAATGCATTGTCCTATGTGTGGGCACATTCTTTGCTTTAGGAACAGGGAGCCCTACAAGTTCAGTATGCTGAGTTGGTTTTGGAGATGTTTTAGCACTGTACACTTCTCTGCTAACATCTGACAACTCGTGGGAGTGGAAGGGAGGATTTTCTTGGAATTTGAATTCTACAGTGCTTGCTTTAAAATCAAACAGCTATTTTCCAATAGTTGTATAGCCATCCCTGAATAGTCCTGTATAAACAAATCTACTTATGGAAACATAGACTAAAACGTATTAAGGGATGAGATGGAAGGGAAAGAAAACAAAGTTCCTGTATGCAACAACCCGTGGATTGCAGGAAAGGCAGAAAAAGAGTGAGATGAGTAAATAAGGGATAAGCCTCCTGAAATGACTCTCAAAACTTTGTACGTTCTTTCTCTTCAGCAGCATATAATAGCTGTTGTTTTGATTTCTCTACATGGGCTTGGTTTATAGCAGAATGCCATCCCTGCTATACTCAGGGTTAAGTAGGTTTCTCAGCATCAGTGCAAAACATCAGTAGCTCTAAATTTTACTTGTTTGCTACTAGCTTTAGAAATTTATTATCAGCAAATCACAACTGCCTTACACTTGACTTATTCCCCAGACAAAGAAAAAGCCTATCGGTTAAGTTTTACATTCCCTTAACCTTTATGCATGCAGGCAGTGATATTCATTAGTTTTACGTACAGGTTGCCAAGCACGCTGTTAAGTTTAAAACTCCCACCGAGCTGCCGATGGTCCTCTCGGGGAGATGTCGTCATCTGCTAATGGAGACAGTCCTGAAGATGCAGGACCTATTTCCTCTGACACATGGAGAGCAAGCAGGCATTGCTGGCCCTTCTGCTCTGTTAAGCTTCTCAGTAATGACTCTGTCATGGTGCTCTAGCGAATTCATCTGCTCTTCAGTCCTAATGCAGCGAATGTGCAGCTGATGATTCCCGCTGCTTTTTGTCAGCTCCTGGGCAGCAAGGAAGTTGTGTGAGAGTGCACCCAAATTATCCTTTTTCTGGTTGGTTGATTTATTTCTGGGCAGGGGTGTGTGTCTGTGTGTCTGTGTGTCTGTGTGTCTGTGTGTCTGTGTGTCTGTGTGTCTGTGTGTCTGTGTGTCTGTGTGTCTGTGTGTCTGTCTGTCTGTGTGTCTGTCTGTCTGTGTGTCTGTCTGTCTGTGTGTCTGTCTGTCTGTGTGTCTGTCTGTGTGTGTCTCTGTGTGTGTCTCTGTGTGTGTCTCTGTGTGTGTCTCTGTGTGTGTCTCTGTGTGTGTCTCTGTGTGTGTCTCTGTGTCTCTGTGTGTGTGTGTCTCTGTGTCTCTCTGTGTCTCTGTGTGTCTCTGTGTGTCTCTGTGTGTCTCTGTGTGTGTCTCTGTGTGTGTCTCTGTGTGTGTCTCTGTGTGTGTCTCTGTGTGTGTCTCTGTGTGTGTCTCTGTGTGTGTCTCTGTGTCTCTGTGTCTCTGTGTCTCTGTGTGTCTGTGTCTCTGTGTGTCTGTGTGTCTGTGTCTCTGTGTGTCTGTGTGTCTGTGTCTGTGTGTGTGTCCCTGCCTGCCTGCAGCTGAAACTGTGATGAACAGTGCATTTTCTGTATTCCAGAAGTTGCACGATCTGAATGCACACAGAACTGAAGCCCTGTGCTTCAGATGTTTCTCTTTCAGTTCTCACCCAGACACACCCATATAGCACTTGTCTTGGATATGTACTTACAGTATGAAGAGATACTGGGAGGAATGACTAGAGTGCATCAGCTTTACATTAAAAAGATGTTAAGAAGGAACTCCAAATACAAACAATTCAGAGGAAGGAGTGTGGAAGCTATCTCCAACCATCTCAGCAGGGCCATTGTGGCTTTCTTGTACTGTTGGATCTGCTTCCATCATCGGACATAGGCTGAGAAATTATGGGTTTTAAAAGTGTTTTTTGACAACAGATTTGTCTTAGGAGGTTCTTTTAATTACTGAAGTCACTAGTGTGTGGTTTGTGTAGCCATGTGCATAGTAGGTGTCAAATTGGTAACTGCTAGAGTGTTGAAAAGGAACTTTTCAATTGGTTTTTAAAACATCTGTGAAACACGCCATAAAATTCTGCGAAGATAATTCGGTTACAAGACCAGCACCAGAAAGCTAATGAATGTCTAGATTAAACTTCCTAGACAGGCCTCAGTTTGATTTTTTTGTTGGTATTCTTGTTGTAATTAGTTGGACTTCGTAGCTGTGATTGTGTTTAGCTTTACTAGTACTGTAAATAATTCATATGTAACTGTCCTTCATTTTCTCAGTTCCTAACCTGGCGTTCTGGAGCCTGGTTTGCAGCAGTAGTGAATCTCCACTGCTGGTGTTAATGGGGGCTCTGCTTTGGGCATATGAAGTGCAGTAGAATTTAGAGTACTGAGACCACTCCAACTTTGAAACATCTGAAGATGGGCGCTCAAAATTAGTGATTTTTTTTTTTTTTGTCTTAGACTTTGGTTTGAAAATACGTTAGGATTAGTAAAGCATTTATATATTCTACAGATAGGCATTTTAGAAAATCTCATGAGGTAATGAAATCTGTCTCCAGAGCGGTTTCTCCATCATTCAAGCCGTGAGTGGTAGACTAAGTCCTAGGTCCATGTGTTGAGTGATGGGGAAAAAAAGCAGAAAGTAATTAATCGGAATAGCAGCTGATTACATGTGTGCTGTCCATTCCTTGCACTGAATAATGTAGAGAGCTTGTAGAAATTGTGCCTCTGAAGACTGTGAGATATACAGGGTGTTGATTAAACGTTGCGCAGACAGCATCAATTTTGTCACATCCTAGATTTTGAAGGCTTCTCTTCCAATCGTTGTAAGCAGTGTGTATGCATGTAGCAAAAATAGCAGGTTAATATAGCAGGTGCATACCTGCTGATACAAGTGATTGAAGAGCCTCTTTCCTTGGAGAGAACTTGAAGTGTGCACTTTGTATGTATTTGTATGTATTTTGTTTTGTTAAATAGGAAAAGATTTTAACAGACTGCTACAGAAGCATGTACAAAAGATAAATGTTGATAACTGTTTAGTAGGTACATCACTGTCAAGGAGGAAGAGCGGTGTTTATATTTCATGGCTATAAGAGTATTTATTTTAGTCTCTTGAATTTTACTTCACTAGCAGAGCATTCACCAATATAAATTGGACTACTAAGTCCTAGTAATTAACTTTAATAGGAAAGTGTCATTTCTTTGGAAGCTTAGTGAGTTTGTTTATGGTTCAGAAAATACTGTAAAAGGAGGGATATGGACTTTGCTGTAAAATTGATTTGGTTTTCCTTCCTGTTTGTGGTTGTCTCAGGTTGTACTCTGCATATAGACTACTTTACTAAAAGCATTAATTTAATAGATGGTTGGACAAACTGAAATAAATCGTTAAGTGCCTACAGTGGAAATTAATTGGTTTTATGGATTAGTTCAAATTTGGGTTGCAGAAGACTTCGCAAGCTATCCTTCCCTTCATGTTTCTTCTTTTTTCCTTTTAATATGTTTAATGCGTATAATTCCTTGTAATCGTTGTATCTGTGTCCTGAGTGGTTGCAGAGTCAGACTCCTCTTTGCTTTCTCTCGTTTTAGCTCATAGTCTTTGAACTTGAGCTGCTTTACAGCATCAAAGAGCTGAGGTTGTGGAAGGCATGACTAGCTCAAGTTTGCTTATTTTATCCTAAGTCTTTGCATCAGGTACATAAAAGTCACCATGGAGAGAATTATGGCATGAAGCAGACTGTTTCCTCTGCCTGACACTCTGCTTTGCTTTGAATGACGAGCTGTGACAGCACGCAGACACATGGCCAAGCTAGCTGGAACATAAAAGTGACAGCGGCGAGCATCCCTGTGAGCTGTACCAGGGTCCTCGTGGCTGTGAAACGGTCCTCAGTGTGACAGAGTGAGCGAGCCCAGGGACACCGTGAGGTGGATTCATGCGGTGAAATGTTAGAGGCGTTGCTGACCTGAAGTATTGCAGCTCTCCTTCAGCCACTTTGTGAAATTGCAGCCCTGTCATTTCGTATCCTGGCGCAGTTTAATCCAAACAAAGACTGCAATACCTCGAGTGTCAGTGGAAGGGATGATAAACTCAGTATGTCGTTGACTTCAGAGGCTTACTCCACAGCAGGGCATTGCTGTCTGCCTTCCCTGCTTTTTCCTACCTTCCCAAAAGAGCATTGCAAGCTCCTCCATGCGCTTGAATAGCACATGCTCCAAATACCGCACACGGTCTTCGCAACACACGTGAGCTCTCCTCTCTGTCAGGGGTAGGCCTGCTCGCCTTCGAAGAGGTGACTCCTGTCACCGTGCTTTGTAGCACTACATGCAGGTGCTGAACTTCTGAATTCATGGTTGAGCATCTGGCTCTTGAAGAGCTGAACGTTCTCCCTTCGGAATGACATTGGTTGGCATTTTCCCAGGGGAATGGCTTAACTGCCTTTAGCCCTCAGCATGCAAGCTGCTGATACTCGTTCTTCTCTTGGCAGGCTGCCGATACCCTTGCTGTGAGGCAGAAGAGAAGGATCTATGATATCACCAATGTTTTAGAGGGGATTGATCTCATTGAGAAGAAGTCAAAAAACAGCATTCAGTGGAAGTAAGCCATGTCAATTATTCACATGCTCAGGAACAACAAAAATTGCCTCTTTCCCCTTCTGACTAGATATGACACCGTAAAATCAATGTTATGCTCATCGTTGAGCAATACGACATTTTAGAATTACATCAAAGTTGCAAATGAACTTTGTCTTCCCTTTAACTTGCATCTTTGAAACATAAAATCAAATTTAAAGCATACAGGAGATAAATTTTGGGAAAACTTTTGCTACTTTATAACTAGCACTTGTAGTTGAAAAATTTGCTCTAGACGAATCTGGGGAGGGGTATTGGGACACACTGTCTTCACCTACCTACCCTCCAGTAATCTGTGCCTGTTTTCTCTTAGGTCACTGAAGGTGAAAGCTCAAGCTAAGTTAGAAGGGAAGGAGAAAGTGTCTGCAAACCAGCTCCAATGCAGAAAAAAAACACATTCCAAAAGAAAATAAATTTCACTAGAGGGGAATTCTAAATTTGATCTGATGTTAATAATTTTAATTTTTCTGTTAAAACACTGCTGGGAGGATAAATGCTCATTTGCTTCATAGTGAATATTAATAGATTTTGAAAATGTTGAAAGTAGTCTTAAGAAATTATCTTTGCCTGTTTGCTTTAGATTTTTACTTGAGGTTTCATGAACCCTTATGCCTTTTTTAAGAGGAGTAGGTGCTGGCTGCAATACAAAAGAAGTCATAGACAGGCTGAGGTATCTGGAAGCTGAAATTGAAGATCTAGAGCTAAAAGAAAAAGAACTGGATCAGCAGAAACTGTGGCTTCAGCAAAGTATCAAGAATGTCATGGATGATTCTACAAACCACCAATATCCTTTTAAATTAATTGTGTGTATCTTGCATCTAGAAATCAAGCAACAGCTAAAGTGTGGGTAACGGATAAAGCATAATGTAGTCCATTTTATCCAGAAGCAAGAAAAGGCAAGTATTTTTTCTGGTTTTGGTTCAGAAAGAAAGGAAATATAAATCTTATTTACATGGCTTTTTAACTTCTGTGACTGTGTGATTGATAACCTGAAAATAATTTAGCACAATATATATACATATATAATGTAATTTTTAAGTCCATGTGTCTTATTTTAAATGAGTTGTATTGCTTTCTGGCACCCGAATTTATACTTTCTTACCAGTGCTTTATGTGAATCTTTTTTTGTGTTGCTTCCTTCTCTTGAAAAGGTTAAGCTATCATTCAAAGATAAATTGAGTTGACAAAGTCCTGAAGCTTGTTGGGTTTGAAACTGGAAGAAAATCCTGCATGTAAAGACCCCATGAGCAGGGAGTTCCAGCTACATTGCTCGTAACCTTGTGTTTAGCTGTCTTGCAAGAGATACCTGAGATTAGGAGCAGGAAGGTGCTTTTCTTATCTGTAGCACCAGTACTTAAAAATTGCTTGAGTTGCTCTTCAGAAACTGTTGCTGTAATACGGATTTTGTAGCAAAGGAGATTTGAATTAGATGTTAGGAGAGGTTTTCCTTTGGGAGAGCAAGCACTGGAATTGACACCCCAGGGGGGTGGTGGAATATCCATCACTGGAGGTTTTCCAGAAGAGGGGAGGCAAATGTCTGTCTGGAGTGTCTTCACCGTTGATCCTACCTTGAGGCAGGGGAATGGGACAGCAGGTGAACTCTCAAGTCAACCTCTGGCAGTATTTTTGTGTGATTCTGGGAAGTCCTGATATGTACTTGAATTCTGTAGTGTCAAGTTAGTAAGGTAAATGGTATTCTTCAAAATAAAATTTTACATGTTTTCCTTTTTTAGAAGAATCTCTTCTCACTCAAGCTACGCAGCTTTTTTCTTTTTGTATTTTCTTCACAGATACAGGTTGTTTTTTTCCTTTAAAATACAGAACTCTCCTGTTTTTAACTAGCCATTCTGAAAGCAAAAAATCATGCCTTGGTTACAACTCTGAGTAACAGCAATAAGTTTGTAGTTTAAGCTCGGTTTGGACAAACTTCTTTTAAAGGGCAACAAATACCAGTTTCATGTTGTTTTCAGAATAATGTTCCTTGACATAAATTACATTTTCATATGTCACCCATGAAGATATCTGCAACTGCTTCAATGGTAAGTTGCTACTAGGCTGCATTTCCTATTGAGAGACTTCCTGATCTTCCTCTAGAAAACTAACCTGCTTTTTCCCTGCAAGTATTTTGAATTTAGAAGTATTCAGTAGCAATCAGTACTAAGTAGATGTGTCTCATAATGTTCATGACTAGCAAATTCTGGCATTTTCTAGTTGTAGTCACAGATTATACAGAATGGCAGTTCAGCTGGTTTTGGAGTACTGGTTTCAGATGTCTTTTTTTATATTCATACTTGGTAGCAGCTTGCCTTAGGCCATTAATGGAACCAGGGACAGGACATGTTGGTCCAACCCACCAGAAGGACCAGAGAAGTACAAATTTTGTAACATTTTCTGGTGGCAGCTGTGGCCAGAGGGAGCTCCTGATGATGCTGTAGAAATGGAGCCAGTTGAAGTTCAGTGAGGGGGGCATTGCTACTGAATCAAAAGGATTCCTCCTGTACAGGAGGTTTGAAGAAATTGCCAAGAATTTCTGGCAGAAGTTACTTCCCTGGATATCCTCTCCTGATTCTGGGGCACCCAAGGGAAGATTGTTGTTCAGCCTCCAGCTAGACTCATAACCGTCTCTTCTTTGCCACCAGGAAGGTTGGGTTTGCTTTTGAACAAAAATGCGCAAGATTAGACAACTATTGCAGAGTTTTAACAAAAATGAGCTGTTACTAAAAAAAGTTAAGTCATTACAAAATGTGGAGGCACGTAGTACGCCAGTCACATAGTACTTCATGTAAGTGTCTCTTAGGAGGCAGAGAAAGAAAAGCATTATTTCGAGTTACGGACAAAGAGGAAATGATGTGCAGGTGGTGGGTGAGTGACCTGCAGCGTAAGACAGGTTGTGCCAGTGCTCTTGGTGTAACTGTGATCTCTTGACTTCAACCAATGCATTTTAATGCACATAGTAAGCCACAGGTGAGTTTGATAGCCATCTCTTACATCCCGGTTGTATGTGCTGCAGAAGCTGTGAGCTTAGACACTTGGAAGTGCTGGCACTAAAGATGATCATTAATACCTTTTCTTCCTTCTGTTAAATCTCTCTGTACTACCACCGTTCTTCAAAGCCATAAAGTGAGCTGGACCAGAGAGCTGTTTTAGCTGAAAAAGAAGCTAGTTAAATATTTTCACCTCACGTTACGTATACAACTAGGAGATCTGGGGACAGTAACAAACAGGTAAAGGAAGTGATAAATCTTGTACTGCTACGAGAAAAGGTTCTTGCAACTATGGTCTAAGTATTGGAATTCTGTGTTTCATATTATGCGATACACTTGGATCATATAGGGACTATGCAAGTCCCACCATGAGTTTGTTTATGCTAGAATTATGCAGAATTTTAAGTGACCTTAGAGAATTACCATATCTCATTTGAGTGGATACCATGCAAGACTTAAGAAAAATATGCACACTTAACACTTTCTTAAAAATTGCTGTTTAACCAGGAGACACACTTCTAGCAATTCAAGCACCTTGTGGTACACAGTTAGAAGTACCTATACCCGAAATGGTATGTACTGGTTTCTTGTTTACCTAAGTGTTCTAGAGTGACAGTGGAAAAGAAGAGCTACATTAAAGCAGATAAATTATCTCTGTGTGCAAGAGGGGGAAAAGAATTGTTTCATCTGAGAAGGGAGAGGCCGGGTGGGAAAAAATGTTTTTTATACAACTAGATAGACTAATGGTAACTTCGTCTTCTATTAAAAACAAGGTATAATAGCATGTTTCTTTGCCCTCTCTTCTTCTCTCTTGCTTTTAAACGTTACAACTTTCCAAACTAGCATAATTTTCATAAATTCCCTTGAGAACTCATTAGCAGTGACTTTTATGTGTCAAATTTCTCTGTTGTATTTTTAAAACAGATCTCCTGCAAAAAAAGCCTTTCCGGTTTAGTTGTAGATTCGATTTAGATTTAGTTCATGTTTAGCCTCATGGTGTTAGGCTGGTTAGAGAAACAGACTGCAGTCTCACTTTAGCCAAGAGGCTTAAATGGGCAAGATTAAAGTAGGAGGCCAAATTGCTTATCTCTGCCCATCTTTAATTTTTTTGTTGTTTTTGCAGTGCTGTGTTTCAAATAGGGTTTACATAACTGGGAGAGAGCATTGTATGAATGAAGCATGATGCTTGTAGAAGGCTGAAATTCACCTGAGAAGTTTCACAAGCTATTTGTAGTGAGGCTAAGCACAGTCTAGTATCATAAGAGCATCCAAAGCTAAAACCATGAAGCTGATTGGTGGTGCTATCTTTGTCTGCCTCTGCTGAAATCAGTTCAGGCGATGGTAAGGTTCTCTGTGGGACCAAAGGTAGCAGCTGTGATGTTGGGGGTGGGGTTTTTTTGGCTTTTTGTTGAGGACTAAAACAGCTGATCTTAGTCTTCATCACCAAATTAAAATTGGATGGTTTTGCTTTGGTTCCCCTTCCCCGAGGCTCCTTTCCCACTTTTCTCATCCTAATTTTTTTAGAACATACGTGCTGAAAACCTGTTTGCTGAATTAGCCACGGCGGAGTCAGCTGTCTCACTGAGACTGTACCAGAGGAAGCTAGTCCTAGCTGTATTGCTTAGGTAACTTGCCAAAAGAAGGCCTGGCAAATCAGCTAAGAAATTGTTTCTACTGTCTCATGATCCTCTGTTCACTCAGTCTGGGTGAGATACCCACCTGTTTTAGGATGCTTGGTCCCAACCAGGATTATTCTGAAGCTCCATTTAAAGGGAAGAAATGTAAATGTACAGAAATCACTGTTTATCATTGCTGTTATCGATAAGATGTAGCCCTGCTATATATTAGTCTCATGAGATTTGAATTCAAGACTTAGTTAAGTATTTCAAAGAATTGTATATTCCGTGTCCTCTGTGACTGTGTTCTGGTCAGGTAAGTACATCACAGGTTTGTAATCTGGTTTCGTTTGGGGTTTTTTTATTAGATCATATGTATTAGTTTTAAGTATTTTCTCCTGAGTGTGATTTGGGCAGTTTGTGCCAATTCTCAGCTCTTCCTAGAAAAGCACTGTATTTGTCTTCTGCATCAGTCTGAGAATTCTGGTTGAATATCTTCATTACTTTCTGTGGTAAATAACTTTATGCAGTTACTGTTAAGTTTCATAAAGTTCCAAGTTCCCAAGGAATGGTAACTGTTATAATATACCACCTTTACAGGGACAGAATGGACAGAAGAAGTACCAGATCAATCTTAAAAGTAGTTCAGGACCTATCCATGTGCTGCTTATAAATAAAGAATCGAGCTCCTCCAAGCCCATGGTGTTTCCCGTTCCTCCACCTGATGACCTTGCACAGCCCCCATCTCAACCTGCAGCTCCAGCGACTCCCCTTAAACCTGCTACAGCTCCTCAAAATCCACCAGAACACCATGATCTGAGCCAAGGGCAGGAGCTACCACAAACATCAGTTGCAGACACGCCATCAGGTGGGTCCACGGTTTTTCCTACCTCAGGTGGGTGGGGGAGGATGGGAACTGGAAGGAAGGAAGGAAGGAACTGTTAGAAAAGATGGTAGATAAAGGAAAGATCAAGAATTTGCATAAGGTAGCATAAAGATCAAGAATTTGCTGTCTGTTAAGAAACTACCCCAAGGGCTTACTAACAGCTCTCAGGTTACAGAGAAGCCTCTTCCTTTTCTGTCTTCTGTCTGGTGTAACAGATTCTTCCCTCATAGCTTATCATCTTACACTGAACAGGTTTTAGATGTGATCCTGTTAATTATTTTGAGGTGCTTCTCCAGAGTGCAGTATGGAATGAAATTGCCAACCTCTGACGGAGGACATGATTTGAACATGTACCTTTTAATGAGACAGATAATACAGGCACCAGTTCCAGCCTTTGTGCCACAAGGTCACTTACCTTCTTCCACATAGCCACAGTGAGAGACTGCCTGAATATCAGGTATTCTTTTTTCATAATAATAGTAGGGTAATAGGAAAATATTTAAGAAAATGCTGCCAGTGTTACACACTGCATTTCTGAGGGGTCCTGATTAAATTGTGCCTGTGACTTTGGTAGAGAGAGAGACTCCTCTTGCCTCATCCCAGACACGGGCCATGTTCTCCTCACAAGGCAAAGCCAGGTGCAGGCATTTTGCATTCCCTTTTACCGTAACAGACTTCCTAAGATGCCTTTCTCTCTTTGTAGATGGGAGTGTGCAGCAGAACAGTACAACCCCAGCAGCTCCTTACTCCAACCTTCCAGAGTCAGTGCTGTACCCCAGCCTTTCAGGAGATGTCGCCCAAGCTACAGCTAGCTCAAATGACTACCAGAGCTTGTTGCCCCTGGACGTTAACTGTATTCTCAAGCCAAACTCATTCGACATAGCAAAGATGGAGGAGCCCACAGGTAGGAAGCAGCAGTGACTGTTTAAATGCTTTTGTTAGTTTCCTGAGCCCTTCTATGTGACCAAGTTACCGATGAGTTACACAGTGGAAATGACAGGCCTCTGTTTATCTCCTAATGAAGCCCCTGAGCCAGCTCTAAGTATTAAACTCACTTTGAGTGCAATACCTTTCTCTGCCACCAGATCAGCTTTATGGTGTACACAGCTCTAGGGTTACAAGGGATCAGTGGGATAAATGTATCGGGGAAAAACTGAGGGATACAAAGATTAATGTATTTTATAAATACATAGCATGCTATCTCTACCACTCTTGCACAGTATACGAGCCATACTGTACTTTACAATTCAGTGTTTTAATGAGTCTCTGTTGACTTCCATAAACACGTGCTCCTGTCTTTCACAGGAAATATCAGTGGGGATATTATTGATGAACTCATGTCTTCTGATGGTAAGTATCTAGCATCTTTACTTTTCTAATAAGCACAAGTAGCAGCATGGTTTTTGTGTGAACAGCACTCTTGGTAGGTGTCTGTTAAATCTGATGCCAAGAGCCAGTATGAAACTACTTCTTTCCCCTGTACTGCGTCCTCTATCTTTGTCATTCTTGTCTTTGCTCCCCTTTCCATTCCCTGCAAGTTTGATTTAACAATCAAAATATGAAAGCCTTAATCCAGCAAGCACTTACATGCATGAGTAACCCAACAGTCCTTAATTCAGGAACAAAGAACAGACTGATGAGCAGTCTGAAAGATGATGAGCAATGAAAGAACAGCACTATAGAGTGCTGCCTTTAAAAAAAAAAAAAAAAATCCATTTTAATTCTGTTCTGCCTCAGGCTTTCTGCAGGAGCTTTGAGTAAACATTTCAGAACATACTTACATGCCTTCATGCAGGCTGATACAGGGGCAGCTGTGGTACACTGAAGGAACAGGCAAACGTCACCCATTTCTGCTTTTGTACCGTGGTGGCCATATGAGTGCAAACTAAACCACTGCTAATAATTCATACACTCCCTGCCTTGCTGATGTGTCTCACTGAGGTGCCAGGCAAAGAGGTGAACTCAGCTGCCATTGTTCCTCTTGCCCTGTAAATATGCTGCTGTGAGGAGTCTGTGCTAATACCTGCCCTTCAAGCAGACAGCCTTGGGGCTTATCTAGAAAAAAGCATGCAACTGTAAGATCTGAGGGGCAAGATGGCATTATGTGGATGTGCCAGTACAGGGCTAAAATGGAAATAGTCTCCACTTTCAGAGCACGCCCAGCTCATCTGCACTAGGTTAGTGTTCCTGAGGTGCAGCACGAGGCCTGAGGCTTCTCTTCTTGCATTCCCTCCCCAAAGACAACTTCAAGCCCATGCTTGAAATGCAGTGCACAGAGAAACTGCTAGCCACCATTTTTCACAAGTAAAATAGGGATAATGGTAAATTCCTTACTTAAAATGATAAATATTGGAAGGCCAATACATGCAATACTGCAATGAGACAAAGGAATTATTAATGATGACTTTGATGAAAGTTTCAAAAGCTGCTCAGGAGTTCCTTTGCTGCAGAAGAATTTAAGTCCGTATTTCACAGCTATCACTCCATTCCTGCAAATTCACTTCCAATACAAAGCAAATGTAGACATGTCGCTTACTGCCTTAGTTTGAAGGCAGTACAGGTTATTCAGTATGTAGCTTAGCATGTTTCTCAGATTATCAACACTTATTTTAATTATTAAGACTAACCCTGATAACTGCTCATGACAAACACTGATTTATGAGATAGGGCTGATATTCCAACAGTGTTTTAATTTAAACTAAACTATTCCTGCTTTACAGTTTTCCCTCTCTTACGACTCTCTCCTACTCCCGGAGATGACTACAACTTTAACCTGGATGATAATGAAGGAGTCTGTGATCTCTTTGATGTGCAGATACTAAATTATTAGATATTGTGTCAACCAGACTACTTATCTACCTCTAACTATAACATTCTAGACTTCTTCATAACCTAAGTATTTGAATAATGAATGTATAACTTCTTAGTTCACTGACTCTGGGAGTATATTTCCTTTTGCTTCCTTTAACTACTTCACAAAACAAATTCAGCAACCAGAAGAAAGGGCTTTGATCAAAAATTCTGGCACATTTTTCTTCACCTGAGTATCCTCTGTGTAATGCAATTATTTGGTTTTCTTTAGTAAGAAAAGTAAAAATGCTCTATAGCCTTTTGATCATTTTATAAGAAATGATTAGGCTTCTTGCTTACAGTTAACAGCATTTTTTTTGAAGCTTTACTGCCAAGAAGCTTTTTTTTTTTAACCTTTCAATCGATTTTGAAGCTTTCACTGCCATGCTGAAAAGTGAAGGATGTCAACTTGAGTTATGCTAAATTGTTTCAGTGAACCAATTTTGTGAAGTGCCTTCTGTTTTAGCACTTTAAGTTTCTCACACTGACTTCTGACATTCCACTTTCCTAGATGATAGGAAAGGTCTGTTTGTAGTTTGTATTAAAATGTGCCAATACTTGTATATTAACAAGATTTTTTTAATAAAATTGTACAAACAAAGCCATCAGTATTTGTGATCTTCATTCCTTGCAATCCCTTCATTGTCCATTATGCATTACAACTGAGACAATAGGCTTGTGGCATCATCCACATTTGCTGGTTCCTCTTCCAGATTTGTGGACACCTGAAAAAAATGAGTTTCAGTTTAAAGTAGAAGGCAATTTCTTTTTACTCTGCTTGGCAAAAAAAAAAACACTAATAAATAACCCCTTGTCTGTAAGATGAGTTTGTGTCTATATATTTCATTTAGGCTAATTTTGCAGTCATCATTCTGTAATTTGGGGGATTACAGGATTCACTAAACTTGACAGATACACAGCCAATACTTTATGCTGCAGGAGAAAGACAAACCATCATGCCAGTGAAGTAACATACATGGCCAAATGGAAACAGGCTCAACTTTCAGTTCAGAAATGCTCTTGACAACACTTACGCAACTTTAAAGAAAATATTATTACAGCCTGAGTGATCTAATTCAACATTATGTCACGTATATCCCTGCTATCACAGGAGCAGTGGTACAGTCTGAACCCCTGGCTGGGTGCAGTAACAAACCAGCAGGGACAGGGCCCCTGGCACCAACTGCCTTGAAACCCTTCCTCGGCCTCATCCTATGCTGGCAGCACTGTCGTCTACGTTTCATTTTTCCCTCAGCCTCTCCTTAAGGTATTTGACACTTGTTGCTTCCAGCCATACAGAAACTTGATCACCCCAGGCCCAGCAAATAACACTCATGTCCACTTCTCCCAACTCCCTCTGCTTCCTGCAGCAGCCAGGGTCGATTCATCTGTACCTCCTCGTGGCCCACTGCTTTTTCTCTCCCCCGAACCATTCTCATGCTCTGGGAAAGAGTCAGCACTAAGAGTTTATACAGAGAAGCTTGTCAGCAATTAATTTCTGTGAGTTATTTCTTGCACAAGGCTGCATGTAGCCCTGTTTAAAAGACTACACAAAGGAAGACAAGTGAAACAGTGTCTTGAACCTTAAGCGCCACAGGCAAGAGCTGTGGTACAGAAATTTCTGTTTCAGGTGTTGGTACATCCGATAAAGGAATATAAAGGCTTAGGAATTGGGAACAGAAAGAGGCAGAGCTGTTTGTTTTGTTGAAAGCACTATCAGGTGCTTCAGATAGGGAACAGCAAGGTTCATCCTTACTTTCTGTGTCTATTCATGTTATGACATAAGTCTCAAATCAAGGGGCTGGAGCTGGAATTAACTATGTTCTAGCTGGTTTTTAATTTTTTTTATTATTTAAAAATATGCTTTGGAAGCATGCTATGGTTTGGCTGCCCACCCTCTTCTCTCTTTACTTTAGTAGTTAAACAGCATTTGAATATGCTAAGCAGATTTTGATATTACCACACAACTGAAATTAATAAATCTGGGTTTATAGCTTTAAACTAACTGCATGATTTGCCTGCAGTCTTAGAGCCAGAATACAATGCTTTGAACATGCACATCCCTTTCATTTTCCCCCTCAGATTTTTACAAAGGGAAATTACCTGATGACTCTCCTGAGGTTCTGCTGCAGTGCCTTTTGATAGCTGCTGTACTTCTTTCTGAACTTCAGCAAATGCTTTATTTATTGTTCTAACTTTCTCAGCATTTCTAATGTTTATCTGAGAAGAAAAAAATACATACACAGGCATTTTTAACAGAAATTCCATTGGCATGTAAAATTTTACTACTTTCGTACAACTATTATACAGCCAGTGCTATATGCATATCTTCCAAAATTCCTTTTTTAGTAGGTTGATCTGTTACTAATTATATCATCTAGTCATGTTGCTACTAATGTTCTAATAAACTGGAAATTATGAAAGCAGTTAAACTTGTTCTATTGGAAAGGGAGTGCTTAGTGATCCAGAAACAGAACACACAGAAAACAAGACCTGGGCTGCTGACAGGCCCTGCTACACCGCCCTCAGCTCCTCTGAGCTGCAGTGGAGTTCCAGGAAGGGCTCCTTCCTTCCTTCCTTCTTTCCTTCCTTCCTTCGTGTGTGGGGGTGGCAGGTGCTCACCAAAGCTGCTCTATCACTCACTCCCCTCCTCAGCTGCACAGGGGAGAGAAAATATAACAAAAAGCTCGTGGGTTGAGACAAGACAGGGACAGGACATCACTCACCAATTACTGTCACAGGCAAAACAGCCTTGATGAAAATGAATTTATTACCAATCAAATCAGAGCGGGGTAGTGAGAAATAAACACAAATCTTAAAATACCCTCTCCCCAACCCCCCCTTCTTCCCAGGCTCAAATTCACTCCCTATTTTCTCTGCCTCCTGCCCCCCCTCCAGCAGTACAGGGCAACAGGGAATGGGGATTGCAGTCAGTTCATCACACATTGTCTCTGCCACTCCTCCCTCATTTTGAATTTCTTCCAGTAGTTTGCCTGTCAGCATCACACCTTGCATTCCTACTTGTTCATACTATAGGTCTGGCCAACAATGTCTACCAGATTTTGCTATGGTATTTAAAGAAACTTCTATGACTGTAGCAGACCAGGATGTGTACCAGGTCCCTGGACACCTCAGCCTCACGTACCAGCCCAAGTCTACCTTCAGAAGTTATTTCAGCAGAGATGCTTGCTTTCAAAGAAGAGTGAAGACATGGACATGTGCCATGCTCTGGGGACAGTAATCTGTGGTAGAGGAGCAGGATGGATGCAAGGGGGCATAAACTCTTTCACCGCTGCAAAGAAGTAAGATTTAGTTGATCTCAGCCCTAACACCTGTTGTTTCTGAAGTACCAAGTCTGGAACAGGATCACAGCCAGACAATGGCCTATTACATTGCAAGTGTTCCAGAAGCACGCTCATGCGTCTTCAGGCAACCCCAAATTTCAGGATAACTACTGCTGTTCCACAGGCTACCCCTGTAATTCACCTCTCAGCAATTTACACAGGCAAAAGCAAACTGTGAAGTTACACGTATTAGTTTTGCTTTCAAAGCTTACATAATTTCAGAGCATGTACACACTAACAATAATTCCATTTATTCTGAGTGACCAAGAGAACCAGCAGCGGCAAGAGGCTGATATAACAAGCCTACTCAGATTAGCACTTCAACCCATAATAAACTGGATGGTGACTCCAGAAATACAGACTCGGCTCCTAGCTCAAATCAGAGTGGATGGGACTATGGGCATCACTATTTACAAAGATATTTGGCTTCCCATCAGGGCTCGTTACCGTTTTCCAGCTTCACAAGAGTGCTGAAAGGATCCAGCCAGTTTTACTACCTGATCTCCTCAGCTACTCTGGCAAGACTCCTTCAGAGAAAGAGGCTCTGTAGCTGGCATGTGTATCTATATCAAAAGTTGTTTGAGTAGTTAAAATGGGCTTTTATCTATTAAAGAATAAACTTATTTTAACAAATTTTTCTGAGCATCTTCCTATACTCCTTAATGATAAGTAAATTCCCAAAGACTTAATGAATTAAGTAATACAGCTTCAAACATACAGAATAAAATTTTACTCCTAATAAGCTACTGACTTTTCATGAGTAAGTTTTTTAAACCTGTTTCTCTCTTTATTATACAGAACCCTCTAGACTTAAGTGGAGATGTGACGCCAGCAACATGAAATTGCTTATTTCCAAAGTTTGTTACGTTTCTGTCTGTCTACCAGATTAACTTGTCAAGTGGCTTTAGCCTGTTGGGGAAGATTTGAAAGGGCCTTTTTTTAGAGCTGCTACTTAACTCTGTTTGCCCAGCAGACTGCAACCAAATCTAATGGGAACAATAAGTCACTAACTTCATGCTTTTATTATCAGATGCCTTTCTAGAGGGACCAGCTGAACTCTCAGCAGATCACACAGCTCAAGCTGAAGGCAGGGTTTGACAAGAATATGACTTGCTGCTAACAAGAGGAAAACTCTTGCTTATATCACCCCCATCCCTCTTTCCCTGCATCACTGCCAGACATACAACCTACTCTCTCCCTCCCCTGGGCTGAGGTGCGCTCTGGACACAAAAATGGCAGAACGTTAGTTTTGCTTGTTTCCTTTTGCATTGCTTTAGTGTTAATCCAGCTCACAGAAGGGTCTGCAGAATAAAATAGCCCATCTAAGGGGCGCAAAGGGGGAAGAGGGGAATTAAGAGTAAAACATAGGGCAGTGTGTGCTCTTAGATCTGTTCACTGCATCTCACTGATGTGGTTTTACTTGACAGCTGAGATGAATGAACAGTTACTGGCTCAGAAAAGGCTCCCTCCTTTCTGGTTCTTCCCCCCCTAAAATGTTTCCCTTTGAACTCATCCATAATTAAGTTTGTTCAACTCGCCAACCCATCACAGAAAAATGCAAAATACAATTTTAATTGCTTCTGCTGCTGATTTAGCAAGTCGAATTGCCTAGTATGCAATGCGCTCCCGAGCCAGCATCGAGGAGAGCTGTGGGAACAAACAGAGCCCAGGCCTGGAGAAGGGGGCTGGGGTCGGGAACACGACGGAGAGGAGCAGGACTTCCCCTTGCAGTATCTGTGCCTGGCGGTTTGGGCCAAGCCATTTTGTTAGGCCATACCCCGAATGACACCAGCAGCGACGCTGCCAAGTGTGGTCTAGCAAAGGGACACGCGCTGAACCCCCGGCGCTGTCCCCAGCGTCGCGTTCCCCGGGCCGCCCTGAGGTGCCATCGGAGACTTTCCAAACGGCCCCCGCTCCAGGGGAACAGCTCGCGGGCTTACGTGGCGGGTGCTTGCGGGAGATCAGTCAAATAAACTTCCTGCGCTTCTCTGTTTGAAGATGACGACATCCGCAGCCAAGCCTGCCTCTGAGGCGGGAATCGCGCGTCCTTTGCCGATGTGGTGCCCAGAAGGAATCTGCCCACCCAACAGCTCTGCTGCGCCGGCCGGGCGCGCTCACCCCGCCCCGCAGGAGCGCCCTGACCGGAGGAAACCCCCGCGGTCTCGCGTGGGGCCGAGCGGCCACGCAGCTGGACCGAGACCCTCCCGTGGGACGCTCCCGTGCCCGCTCCCCCCCCCCCGCCAAACCGCCCACCTGCTTCAGCGCGGAGGTGACGGGCCGCGCCTTGCCCTTGGCCTTGACGGCGCCGCTGCGGGCGATGCGGAAGACGCTGGCCGCCTTCGCCGCGCGCGACCGGCTCTTCCCCATGGCGGCGGCGGGCGCTCGGGCGGCTGCCTGACGTCACGCCCGCGCGCCGGGGAAGCCGCCGATCTCCACCCCCCCAGCGCTGCCGTTGGGCAGCGGGGCCGGCAGGGGGCGCTCCGCCTCCGCGGAGCGGGGCGTGGCCGGGCTAAATCCGGGGCGCGGTTGATGGGGTAGGGGGCGTGGCCTAGCCGGACGGGGGCGTGGCTGATCGGGGTCCCGCCCTCCCCCGCCAGTTTCCCGCGGGGGAAAGATGAGGTGGTCAGGGAGGCAAAGCGCGTGCCTGGCCGTCCCAGAAACGCTGGGTTTTATTGGTTTGGTTTGGCTTGGTTTGGTTTGCTTTTGAATAAAAGTAAAGAGATTTTCGAGTGGGTTGTGGGAAAGAAACCCTCCTGTCTGAAAAGCGTGACTCTTTCTAGGGCCGATTCCAAGGGGAATCAGCTTCCCTCCCCCGGCAGCGCGGCGGGAGGGGGGCGCAGGGGCGGCGGGCTGTGGGGCTCGCTGTGCTTTGCCTTTGGGGGTGCAGGGCGGGGAGGGTGACACCAGGAACGGGCACTTATTTCCCCGACTTTCCCTGCCGCGCAACTCGTGCCCCTTGCGGGACGGCGGCGGGCAGCACCTTCGCTCTGGCTGGAGCGGTCCCGGCACCGCTGCTCCCCCCCGGGCCGCCCCCCGCGGCTGTGGGGATGCGGGGGGGGGGGGGGGGCGGGGGAGTGGGGGTGAGAACCGGCACGGATGGGCCGGGGGGCCGGGGCAGGGCTGCGCGGGCGCGGAGCGCTGCAGGCTCCTTATCGGCGCCCGAGAATCGGGGCGTCGCCGCCCGTCGCCTTCAAAGCGGGCGGCGGTGACGGCGCGGCCGCCTCTCCCGTCCCGTCCCGTCCCGTCCGGTCCCGTCCCGTCCCGTCAGGAGCCAAGAGCCATGCTGCACTGGGGATACGACGAGCACAACGGTAGGGCGGCGGCGGGCGGCGGGCCGGGGGCGGCCGCGGCGCTTCCTGGGGTGGCAGCCGGGACCCCCCCCCGCCACCTCCCGCAGCTGTCTGCGGCAGCCCCCCCAGCCCGCGGGGAAGCTGAGCGAGCTGAAAAGCTGTCGGAGCTTGGCAACCCTGAGACCGAGCAGATTTTTTTTTTTTGGCTGGGCACGATGCGAGGCTGGCGGCTCAGAGGTGTTTCATGCGCGCAGCATCGCGGGCCGGGGGCGGGCCGGGGGTTGGCTCCGAGTCGGGTCTCTCTCGTTCCCCGCAGGGATTTCGTTTGCTCCTTTAGCTGCTCGGTTGCGTGTGCACATCGAGTCTTTATCAGGCGGTGACACCGATCAGAGCTGCTGGATCGGCAGCGCCTTTCTGATCCCGGCTGTGTCCTGCTCCCGTTGTGCGGTGGGAACTGCCAGGCGCTGGGATCGGTCATTTGAATGTGTAACTAGGCACCCAAGAGGAGATGCTTTTGGATTTGGGTTGTTTCATGGTTTCCTTAATCTTGTTGGTCTTTGAAGTCCCAAGATGTGCTCATCAACAGCCTTAAAGACTTACCTCTGTTTTGCATCGTAAGTCATGCAAACGCTGCTCCCAGTGTGCAGACCGGCTCACAAGTCATGCAGGTAGAAATGAAAGCGCTTTTGTAAATTGGGGACTCGGCTCTGATAAAATACATGGAATAACTTACGTTGTCTGTTATAGTACACAGAGAAGTAAGACACCATGATGGTAAACGGAGAAAGCTATATATTTGCATATACTAATGCCTATAGGAGTGTGCTTTGTGTATATTATTACATAGAGTTTGGAATACTGTTTGCACAAGTACTACCTCTCCTTCCTGGTCCTTTTGTTCCATCTTTTCTGGATGGATACACTTTTCCTGAAAAACTGGGTGGTGGTGGATCGCAGCGATGTTGCAACGATTAGGCGTGTTATCTACTGTTGTGCAGTCTGCTCTACCCCTCCCCTGAAGACGTAAATGGGTCTTGTTTTTCAATTTTGTTTCTCCATGTTTTCCAAGAGTGCCGTGCTCTTCACCTGCACCGTCCAGATAAGAAGCCCACTTTCCCTCCCTTATCCTATTTTGCTATTCTAAACTTCTGAGAAGGGGAGGACACCAGAATTTGTATCGGTGTGGCACTGGACCTTGCTTGAGGCCCCATTTCTCCTGCAAAACTCTGTTTACTGACTGATAACATAGTTGGGGTGACGTTTGGCTTTCTCTTCTTTCTTTGAGCCCCCAGCAGCTGCGCGGGGGGGGGGTGGGGGGGGGGTGGGGGGGTGGAGATAGTTCCTCATCAGTCCATCTGCTTCGCCCCACCTCACAGGAGACTAAAGGAGAGAGTCATGGATATCTAACACTTCACTGGTCTTCCCTAGCATCAGTTTTATTTCGCTGTTTATTCTCTTTTTGTGTATTTATTTTATTGGTCTTGCTTATTTCTTGTTTGACTGAATAGCAGATGCAGGAGATTGCTCTGATTCTCGAAAAATTTTATTGCCCTGCATAACCCTGAAAATAGTTTCCCTGAAACTAAGATTAACTTTTGCAACTAATGCGGCAGAAACAAATTAATTAAATCTGGTGCAGTCGTATATTAAAGTTGACTTCCTGAAGAGTTGGAAAGACATCTGCATTCACTCTGAGTTCTGCATTTGTTACTTGCAGTGATAAAGGCACTGGTTTTTTTAAACCAGGGGAAAACTCAGTTCCCCCTTAGCAATAATAACCACAACATAAATCATTATGTGCATAAACTGTCGAATATTACACAGACATGTTTACATATATGGTATATCTGTGTATAAGGACATGGTCTGACTGTTACATACAGAATTAAATGTTCTCCTCTGCTTTGATGCATATATTTCTGAAGTGCAAAGAGGCATTATTTTATTTCTATGCAAACCCTGGTCTTTGCTTTCTTGCCACTGTCCTTGACTCACAGTTCTGATGGTGCTGATGTATGGAGGCACAATACTGAGATCCTGAAAACTGGCTTCAGTGTGGCATCATGCATGCATTTCTCTGCTGCTCAGGGCTCCTGTGAGGAGGTGAATGTTCTCGCCCCTGCACAGAAACAGACCTTTTAGATAACTGGGGAATTGGCTTAGTTAAGAGACTCAATAAAAGATTCGATTGCCTTCAGTTTACTATTTGTTTAATAAAATAAATGGAAAGTACTTACATGTATTCTGTTTTGCTGCAAAAACATCTCTTGATCTACTTACTACTATAACAGTGAAGCATTTTATAAATAAAAAGGGATATGAATTCACAGAATCATAGAAGAATTTAAGTTGGAAAAGACCTTTAAAATATCTGAGTCCAATTGTAGTTCCTGATACTATTTTTTCTCCCTGAGAATAATTACATAATTTTGATGTCTTCTTTTACTTTTACCCATTATGAATCTCCAATCGTTTTTATTTGAGCTAATCTTATCATAACCTAATACGCAAATAAATTACTTACAAACCCAACTTTATAAATTTAAGATTTTTGTATAGGATAAACTGGGCAATGTATTCTTTTTAGGAATAAATAAGGATGTGATCCTGCAAAGGTCGGACCATACCAAACTGATGAACTTTCTGCATATAATAGCAAACTGTCAAAAAACAGATCCCCTTTTTCACCTGTACGTGCTCTATTTATGCACTGCGTTGCATTTGCATTGCAACCGAACCGTACCCTGCAATGTCTCCACCAGGCTTGTTTCACGTTAGTCTGTCTTTCTAGTGGAACTCATAATCTTTAAATCCAGCTGGATGAAAAAGCACCACTCTCAGGGGCTATAGCAAGTTCAGTTTCCTGACAAACTCATAACTGTTTTCCCTTTGAGATCTATTTGATGAACTGAATGTGTGCAATGCTGGTGGGTACCATAAGTAACAATAGTCTAATCTAAAAGTGACAGAGGTGTGCATCACATTTGGTAATTTTGCTTCCAAAATAAAGGCATGCAATCTTCAGACCTTATGGTTCAGTTTTTTTTTCCTAAATATTGGTCACAATGGCTTTGATTGTTAAGAGCTACTAGGTAATGTTCTCTAGCAGCAGAACATTTTCTCATCAACAGAAGGGGATTTAATAAATTCAAAATTTTGCATATTTAATCACGCTCCTTCAGTAAATTAAAAAATGAAGGGAGGTGAATCGATGAGTTACGCTTTCCCGGGTGTATTTTAAAGTACATAGCTAGAAAACTAAAGTGTACATTATGTTGAGATGGAAGCATATAATTCAGGTCCAAATTCTGAATAAATTTTCACCTTGGAGATCCCATTGGCTTAAATCTGATTGTATGACATGCATTTGAGTATCTCTTCCAACTGCAATGACTTATTTTCCAACAGCCATAGACAAAGTTTGCTTTGGGGTGGGGTCTGTAGTAATGAATCGAGTCACAGTTTTTCTAGAGTGGCAAGAGTAATTGTATTAGATTGCTGGTAGGTAATCTAGCAAAGAATATCACTTGCTATAACCTAGTGGTACAAAATGAACTGAAGTTTCTTGATACCTTCCTGTATATTTTGAAAGATCAGACTTCTGGCAGTCTTATGTTATTGATAGATGTTTAATCACCGTAGCAAAACATGATTTTGGTCATCCAAGCCGAGGACAAGTACCAAAGCAGGTACAATGTCTTTTTAGAACCAAAGTTTATTGTTGAGTAATTAGCTAGCGGCAGAATCACAGCCTTGGGTCCTCATTTTGGCATATTCATATTCTTTCTGAATGCAAATAATTCATATTCTTAAGGTACAATAACTATAGTTATTTCTGAGATGGAGCAACAGGACCAAGTAGTTAAGCGCATAAATGTATTTTGCCTTTCCTCAGCTAAGTAATATCTGAAACATTAAAATTAAGTAGCAATAAGCTTTCCCTAAGAATCCCAAATCATAGTAGTTAGGTATAAATGATGGAGTGGTGGTTCTTATGAATAAAACTGTGCATTGCATCTTTAACTACAGGGTACTAAGATCTAAACACAAGTAAAATTATAGCATATGCTAAACTGTAAGTAATTAAAATGTTGAATAGCTTTGATGACCATTTCTGAAGTGAGAA